AGGAAAGAAAAGATTTTGTGACTATGACAATGAACAACATTTAGGTTTAATCAGTTAAAGCAGATATATGCATTTTCCTTCTATTCCTGTGATACCCTTGTTATGAGGTCATTTTATTTTATTTTTTTAAGTATCAGAAGTTGAAGAGGTTAGTACCTCTTTGAAATCTTAGCTTTTTTCTCACTGCAGTAGTTTCTATAGCAACTGTTTCTATATTGGCTTCATACAAAATATAGATAATGCATACTTCCCCTCATCCTTTACCTCTAGTACCTTGGCCACTTAATTTTCCAAGAATAAGGCAATTAATTCAGCATTGCAGATTTGCTTCAGAAGAAAAGTTTGTTCAGCATTAAAAGAAGAGTATAAAAAATCTTAATCAAACTGTAGACATCTTTCACAAATACTATTGCTGATACTAGCAATAGTATAGTTTCTCATATTTCATGTACCCTTCAGCTTGTCCTTAATTAAATTAAAGGGATTTTATTTGTTTTGGGTATTTTATCCTGTAGAGTATCTCAGATAGCATCAGTTTGGGTTTTTTTTTAAAAAAAATACTTCCTATTTCTTGATATAAAACTTGAAGGACCAGGTTAGGGACTGATCTTCCTAAAGAATATCTTTAAGGTTACTAAAAGTCAGCAGCAGCTTGACTGGTACATAATCAATCTGCCTATAGGAAGCTAATTAAGGTGGGCAGTTGTGCATTTCAGAGCAGAGAGTGCAATCATTTGCTATCACATACCTGCTGGCCATGATTAAGGAGGAAAATGTAGGTCAGGTATTGTCTTGATCACAAGATGACTGTGATAATCCTTTTCCAACAAGGCTGCCCATACTGTTATGCAGAATGAGATTGATACCTCAAGTAGTAAAGCCGGGGAATAATGAAAGCTTGGTAATTGTTATTTATTAAATGAATTAATAAATATGTTTTTAGCATCATGGATGGTAGAGGTCCGTGTAGCAATTACAATTTGGAACAAACTATCATGGATCATCCAATTGCACTTCTTGAAATTATTAGATGAAGATTTTCTACTGTATTAAACAAGCCTTGTGAGATCACAAATTTGAGCTATAATCATCCAGCTTGAGTTACCTGTTGTTTTTTTTTCTATGAAGACTGAAGGGAACGTGTGGTGTAGAGAGTTCTGTGTAATTTGCTTCATTCCTCGGATGCATACAGATTGACAAAATTAGCTACTGATTGCTAAATATATTACAAAATAGATATTTTAGTAAATAAGAGAGAAATGATTTGTTTATGTTTTGGGGATAAAAAACTGATTATAAATTGGAGAATATTAAGGCTGACATCCTATACATATTTACAGAGTTGACTATGTGTATTTAGAAGTTACCATATGTGTATAGCATAAAGCTGATTCAGATCATGTTATTTTAATTAGAGGAAGAATTTTACTATGGATTGGGAATATTATCCACATTTGCATTAAATTCTCCCTCTAGGTTCTAGATACCATCATTCCTACATTCTCGCAAGTGTATTTTTAAAACAAAAAACAAAAAAACCCTTCACTTTCAACAACAGAGTTGTTTTGAAAATGCACATAATTGTGTATGAGTAGGTGAGCAAAGATTCTGAGCCCCAGGAAGCCAAGAGGGAAAGAAATTCAGCCCAATACAATCTACATTAGTGCCCCAATTGCAGTCTAGAGCCTGCATGATTTTTTTTCTAGTTAAAATGGGTAAGGTACTATTATCAAGCTGATATGAATATTCAAAATAAACCATTCTCTTTTTAAAAAGTCATCTGTTTCTTTCCTAGGAATGTTTAGATTTTTTTTTTAAAAAAAAATCACAATGTATTAAGTACTGAGAAAAAAAAAGATGAATCTTGTATGCAAATAAAATTTGTTCTCATTTATTTGTACTCACCATTTTTTTTTAAAAAAAAAATCAGCCATGGTCCTTGGACTAGAGATGAATTGCAGGATCTGCTTGAGAAAATAGATGTAAATCCTACAGGCATGTTCTATAAAAAGACACTGAAGTAACATTATCCTCTGAACAGAACAAGCTTGCTAAATGGTAGAATAATGTACAGTAGTCCCCATTTCCCCAAGGACAAGAATAAATAGCATCAACCTAATCATTTCTCTTCTAACAGATTATGACAAAGAAGATGAGAATTCTGTGGACAACAACAGGCATTGTCGGGCCATCGAGAAACATTATGTGGAAAAAAGAAGCAGGTCATCATCTTTTGTGTCATCCACAGATGATGAGCAGAAACCTTTGTTTTCTGAGATAATAAGCTACCCAGCTGGATTAGGCAAGGCTGCAGTGTTGGATTTTGAAGAAATAGTAAATGCAGCCGAAAGAATCCAGAGTGATCCACAAAGTCACACCTGTAAAGGTAAACCCAGCAAAGTCTTTTGCCAAAGGTATTCAGATTTAAGAACTCCTGGGAAACGGTTAGAGCAGACAGACTTTTAACCTGGTGATCAAACCTCTCCTTGAGAATAGCCCTTGTGATTAAGTTTATCACATTTTAGTAGTTAATTTCTTCAAGCCTTAGACCAGTGATGGCGAACCTTTTAGAGACTGAGTGCCCAAACTGCAACCCAAAACCCACTTATGCATCATCGAGTGCCGGGTGGGTGTGGCCCACTGGCTGGATGTGGCCCATTGGGTGGCCGTGGCTACGGTGGTAACGGCAGACTGGGTGGGACTAAAAAGTTCAATCAATCAATTCCAACTTTGCAAGATCTTTTTTTTTCCTGCGAGAAGTTGAAATTGACTGATTAAACCTGTTGTTGTTTTTTTGTACACGGCAGCGGAGGCCTAAAGCAGAAAGGGTTTATAAAACCCAGCTGAAGACCTAGGACTGGGGCGATGGCGCGCGTGCCCACAGAGAGGGCTCTGAGTGCTGCCTCTGGCACCCGTGCCATAGGTTCGCCACCACTGCCTTAGACTGTTTCAGCAGATATGGTGTTCTCTTCAAAAGAGAATGGCACAATGCTCATCCTTCAGCTGACTATATCTGAGCTACAAAACTTCAGAGAATAGTTCTGAGAACCCCCAACAGCAAAGGGTTGGGGTTTTTAATCTTGTTGATATATACAAAAGATGAGCATCGGAGTGGCCTAGTGGTGAAGACACTCACCTCAGTCAGAAAGTTGAGAGTTCAATCCTAGATAGTGGCAGATGTTTCTCTCCTAGGGGAAAAAAATATCTGCTGTGAACTCTGCATAGGCATAAGGAAGGGCATCCAGCTAGTAAACGCTCAGCTTCATCCAGTTGCCCCAACTCTACCCCGAATTAAAAGATTACAGGGTCGTAAAAAGGAGTTCTTTATACATACAAAGATTCAGAAATTGGCCAAAAACTATAGAGCAGGCAAAAAAGAGAAGAAAACAATCCTGTCTTAACATATCTGCCATGTAAAAAAAAGCTTATTTGAACCAAGACATATCAATATTTAATATTCAGTATTCAAAGCCAGTTTTTCTGTCAATGGATTATAGCTGAACCACGTGAGATAAGAGCTCATTGGAAACCATCTGGCATAAAATGTAATACAAAGATTAAAAGTTTCTAAAATGTTTCTCAAACATTTCTGGTAATACATTGGTGAGTTTTGTCCAAGAAACTAAGATTAGACTAATGATCACGGAAGTCTCATGCCTTGCTTCATGTCATGTCTCAGCATTTGGTGCTGAATGTTTGGTTTCTGAAAATAGCCTGTTCCTGTGAAGCCTGAAATCTTGATTGCTCTGACCCAAATTAATGACGGCTGAATTGCTTCACCTGTTGGGAAAGACTCATGCTACCATCACGTTGTATAAGCTAGCCAATATGGGTGGCCGGGTTTTGTTTGATTACTCTAAAAACATCGTGTTTGCTGTTGTTTTAAGAAATAATAGAGTTGAGTCATAAGTAGTCATGATTTTTTTTCACTCTGAGTTAAGCGGGAGATGCTAAAATATTGCAATTTAGGTTTCAGACACCATTCCAGATTTCAGCATGAGCAAACATTTACCACGTAAGATCAGCACTGAATAAAATTTCCCTAATTATTAATCAGATATATAAATTAACTCCTGGCCATCTCACCGTGGCATTTTATTGCCAGAACTTTAAGATTGTTGATTAGGAATAACTGAAATGCGTAAAGATATGCAAAACATCAAGAGTTTTGTCGCTGCAACATTACCAGTAATTTTAACACATTGTAATTGATATGTGTTTTGTTGATTTCTCTCCTTGCATGAATATTTCTGCATAAAGAGCTTCAGTTTTTAATCCCATGTCATTTCATCAAGTATCAGATTACATCAGACCTGGGCATTTTACGCCCCCCCGGGCCATATCCGGACCTTTGGCTATCTCTGTCCAGCCTGTGTGGATTGCTTTTATTTTGAAGGCAATTGCTGTTTTCCTCCAATTTATGTATGTGCATGTGTGCGCTCCTGCGCACTTACACAGCCTTATTGGTTCAGCTCTCCACAGCAGTCTCTCATGTGGTTCCTTGGGAAAATTAAGAGGGAGGGAGGGAGGGAGGGAGGGAGAGAGAGAGAGAGAGAGAGAGAGAGAGAGAGAGAGAGAGAGAGAGAGAGAGAGAGAGAGAGAGAGAGAGAGAGAGAGAGAGAGAGAGAGTAAGGTCATTCATTTACCCATAAATTCTTGGCAGCTCAGACCTTTGTAAATGCTACTAATATATATTTGCAATTTGGAAGCTCACCTTTTCCCTTTTGATTGCTAGAAATATTTCTCGCAGCTATGGCAACACTTTCCAAGGCAACCTAGCAAAACAATCTTCTTGGGCTATATTTAGCTATTTTCAGGAGTGTGTATTTTCACTGTGGTCACGTACAAACCCAAATAAAATTTTCTTGTTCTTTGTTTGGGACACTTAAGAAGTAATGATCTTTTCTCATTCTCTTTGTGTCTGCCTGCTTTTAATAATAGTCCATCTAATCAGCAGCATTCTTATTTATTTTTGTTAACTAAACTAATTAGCAAAATGTGGGTATTTTCTAAACGTGTGCGTATACAGTGTAACGAGATATACTGGTACATAGGATACCAACAGGTTTATCAGTTTTAGGGACTGTGAAAAAAGAGCCTAATGATGTGTTACCTCCTTGTTAATATCCAGTGTGAGGAGTGATATTGGCATTACAGTCGATAACTTCTGCTCTCAATGGGAAACTGTCTGCATGAATGTGAACTTACCTGAACTCTCTGAGCAGTTTCAGAGGCCTGTGCAAAAGACTGCCAGAAAAAAATGAAGCGGACTGGTGAACTCCTGCCATAGTGCCAGCTCTATTATTATAGAAGTGCCTGCTTTTAATATGTGTACCTAAGACTCTTCATAATTGCTTTTTAAAGGGTCCTAAAGACCTGGTTGGTTACAGCAGTGGTTCTCAACCTTTGGGTCGCGACCCCATTTGGGGTCGATCGACCATTTCACGGGGGTTGCCAAGCAAGGCTGTCCGCCATTTTTTTCCCCTTTTCCAGTGGGTGCCTTACCTCCCTTGAGCTGGGCCAGCTGGTGGTCGGCCTGCTCCGTCTCTGCCGCTTGCCAGCTACGCCTCGGCCGGCGCAGGGGGCGGAACCACACATGCGCAGCGCTCCCGGGCAGGGAAAGTCCTCGGCTTACGACCGGTTGGGTAGTCCTCGACTTATGACCGGGTTAGTCCTCAACTTACGACCGGTTTAGTCCTCGACTTACGACCAGTTTAGTCCTCGACTTACGACTGGTTGGGGGTCGCAGCATTAAAAAGGTTGAGAACCACTGGGTTACAGTTAGTTTACTTGCTTCAGAACAGTCCATGAAGCTTACTGTTTTTTTGATGACATGGCTTCTACCTCTTGACCATAGAGGGCAGCAAAGAGATTTTTTTTCATCTTTTGCTGCTATCTAGGAGTTATTCAGATATTTGCAGACTAAACGGGATTGTCTCTTGCTGATTGTTTGACCTTGTTGAGAAATTTTATTTTAGTCTTGTTTTTCATTTGTTTTCTGAAGATATCTTTAAGGTGTGAAGAAAACAGAAGGCTGTGCACCTTGGGAGTTCATATGCAAATATTGATATAAAGAAACCAGTTTTTTTAAAAGTATAAATCAAGTACTTTTACTGAATAAAAGCAAAAGCAACCGTGGGAAATTACGGTCTGTGGAAAGGAGTGTAACTAAAGAGTATGGTTGGGTTTTGCTTGGGAAATTTCAGAATTTCCTGCCTTGTGCTTCTGCTTTTCTTCCTGGAAATGAAAATAATTCAAAGGAATTGATTCAGAGCAAAAAGATAAATGGAGGAAAAGCTATTATTTTCCATCTGTTTCTGTTTCCTGAGGCTGGAAATTGCATTGTTGGGCAACTGCTGTTTATCAGTAACTAACTTAGGAAAACATAACAGTGAGTATCTGACTATTTTTTCCCTAATTTCCCCCCAATCAACACACACAGAGTGCCCGGCTTCCTGCTAAGTCCATAAGTGCTTCTTCTGTAGTACTGTCACTCTACCAGGTAAACCAGACTAAGAAACAAATGCCATATAGGTCAAGACTACTCTTATTGTAACAAAATTTGGCAAATCTGAATGTGCTTCCCCCTCCCTCGCTTTACCTTCATGTGAACTAAGGAAGGGCTTGTCTGACATGTTTTCTCAGATTAGTTTCTTGGAACCAGCACAATCCCGGCTTATCTAATTATTGTCTGGGTAACAATGATTGTCCTTCACAGCCATTTCTTATTCCCTTTACTTGCAAATGCATTCAAAAGTCCTAGTAGCAGCACTGAGGCCCTCAGGCTTGCTCAAGATTATAAGGGTTTGTCTTAAACTTCTGTGGCTATTCAGGCACTCTCGGCTCAGGTGCTTTTATTATCAGCTGCTTTTTGTAGGGCCCTCTATACATTAACACTGTAGGAGAATAATCTGATCCAGACTTCCACATCAATTAGCCACTAATGTCTGGATATTTAATCCCAGACCAGTTATTTGGGCTGTCATTGTCCGTCATCCTTATTTAGCCCCAGCATCTCTATCAACAAACTTGCTCAGATTCACTGAGATGTCTGATGCCCAGAGATCATGAAAAAAAAAAATTCTCCTGTAACTATAGTTCTTTTGTGTGGTAGTCTGTGCATTCACACAATCCATCCACCTTCCCCACATCAAATGCCTACCATGGAAAGGAATCTGAGATGCTGTGAGAATCTCAACCATCCGGAGGGAACAAGGCAGGAAATAAACCCAGGTGTACATGGATTAGGAAACTTGCTTTAGCTCTACAAAATTCTAAGAGTGGCTTCTGCACAAGGAAATTAGCCTTATGTGTGAAGGTGCTGGTGGCAAATTAAAGACTACAGTAGCAGATAAGCGACCTTTTCTTATAGCATGGATTAGAAATATAAGAAACAGACATAAAATAGTATCTGCACTAGGCTGACCTTCACTCTCATTCATTGCTTTGACTGGTAGATATCAGGGACCGAAGAACCTGGGAGGAGGATCAGAGCACAAGTCATCAAGAATCATCCTATCCGTCTGCATTACCTCATGTCACCTGGGGAATCTCTGAGACAGAAAGTGAAGTCAACTATGGTGAAGTGGAGCAGAGGCTAGATCTACTTCAAGACCAACTCAGCAGGTAACTCAAGAGCATGAAAGGGGGAAAAAAGCAAAGCTGGAGTTTCAGTCGCTTTGATATTGACAGTAATGTTGACATTGCTCTTTTTTCACTGACCCGGGCAAACTAGATCCATGCCACTGAATAATATGCCACTGTTGTGTAGAGTCAAAATGGGCCTGTGGTTGAAGATAGGAAACATCCTCTTGTGACTACCAGTAATTAATGTAGTTTTTGCACACATATATCAGATTTAAATTGGGGACTTCCTTTTTTTATAGTGTGATCTTTTAACTCCAAATCGGCACATACTTTAACCTGGCCTGTCACATGTAGAGTTTTCCCAGCATAGACACACACACACATAGACACACACACACACACACACCTATTTTTGCTCGTTAAGCATCTTACCAAACCGTGATGCGTTCAGTTGGTATTACCTTCCTCAACTTTTTTATGGTGTGCTTTTTAGGTCTTCAGTACTCCATGGAATTCCTCTACTTGAACTGTTCAGTAAGCTGCCGAAGATCTCTTTGGTGCTTTTTGCAACTCTTGATTTGTTTCCAGATCTATCAGTGAGGAGCAAAACCTGTGTCCCAGTTAAATTTTTCTCAGTTGAAGTCCCACTTTACCCAATACATTCCTTGGGAATAAAAAATAGCATATCCACAGTGATCTCACATATTAACTTCATCAAAACTAGGACAAAACTTGGACAGCCACTAGTTCAAGTAGCTTCTGAAAGATCCCGAATTAGAAAATAAAGTTTACTTCATTATTCTGAAATCAGAATAATGAGTCAAGGAAATATACCAAAGCTATCCAATTTATACAGGAATTTAAACATTTTTATGGAAACTAAGAACAGTCCCGTGGTTCAGTTGAATGGTTTGGTGATCTAACATTGTAGTGGAGATCCCTAATTGGACTGTGGTTTCAAATGTGGATGCTTTCACTTTTTTTAAACATTTGAAATAAAGACTGTGGCAAATGCAGCTAGCAAAAGACAACAAAGCAGATTTTCCAAGTTAACAGCAGAGCACTCAAAGGCTTGCAGAAATTTGTCAGGGAATATGTAAATCAAACTGTTGCAAATGAATGAAATTAAAGGTTGACAGGGTTATTTAGAAAGAAAACCTATTGACCAGCATAAATTCATTGTGAATTCTTGGCACTATAAAATGACAGTGAATCCAACAGAGAGTATAGCAACATGATTGCGAGTGTATACCAATAACATCTGTTCAGCAGATTTTTTTAAAAAATCCTTCAAAGAAAAGAAGTCACAGGCATACCAGGAGAATACAGAGGTTTTTGTTGTTGTTGTTTTTTTTGGGGGGGGATAGTTAGCAACTATTCCTGTCAACATAAATAAAAGTGAGATTTGTTCATCTTGCCATTTTGCTGTTACAGCTACCCTTCACTGGGATATCCCTTCAAATTCTTACCTAGGAGGATTCAACTCTTGAGCTGAAAGATACTATCATCTTCTGTCACGCAGTATATTATGTGGAGTCAGATCCATCCTATTTTATTGATTATTAACACTATTCTTTCAATTGTAATTTTATTCTTGAAAGCTGCCTTGAGTTCATGAAGCAATAAAGCAGAATAGAAATTTAAGTACATACATTTACAATCAATTTATATGGCACCCAATATATACATGGATTAAAACCAATAGATTAAAACACAAAAGGAAAATAAAATAACAGGCTGACTCACATTCAGTCAAGTTTCAAATAACTATAGATGGGCTCATCCAGCATGTGGCCCCTACCGGGGGGAAAAAACAAAGCCTTCAAGACCAATGGCATCAGGACCATCCAAATCTTAGGGGGAAGACTATTCCAGAGGGCAGGTACTACAATAGAGCATGTCTCCTGGGTCCACCACATGATTTTATTTTTATAGAGGGGATACAGGCCATGCCCACCCTGCTCATGGGATGGATAGAATCAATAGGTGGCAGGTACTCTACAAGACCCAGCCCTATAGTGTACCATGAAGGGCTTTATAGGTGATAATCAGCACCTTAAATTGTACCCAGAAGCCTAAATAAGCATTTCAGAAAGTCTACCAGCATCTGTGCATGGTTATTCTTTCTGTGGATGTTTGCCATTTCACTCTGTTGGTTCTCTTTTGGAGTAATTAATAAGCAACCTATCATTGATGGGTCCAACTATCACACGAAGGGCCAGTTTGGTCTGGTGGTTAAGGCATCAGATTAAAAATGAGGGACCACCTTAAGCATGGTTGACCTTTGGCCAATCACTGTCAGCCAACAGACCTATTGTTGTGGGGGAATTAGAAGGAGGGAGGAGTATATAGGTATGTTCACACCTTCAGTTATTTATAAAAAAATAAAAAGGGGAAATAAATAAATACACCCATTGAAGTTAATTGCAGGACTGTTCATTTTCTGACGGGAGAACTATGTTGCTGCCAAAGGGGGGGAAAAGAGGCTAAACCTCTGTTCCTTCCATTCCAGATACTATTTGTGAAGCTTTGCAGGACATCAGAGGTTGCTTTGCTTCAACAAATATCCAACTGAAACACCTCTTTAAAGTGAAGCGCTGAATCAGAACAGGACTCTGTATCAGTGCATTAAGACTGGCATGCTGCTTTGATCTTGACAATTAAAAAAAAAATTGCACATGCAAAAGATTTCTTTTTCCTCTAGATCAAAGCCGTTGATTGAAGCAAATCAGTCCACTTCGATGCTTTGATTTAAAGTACTGAGTCAAGCTGACTTGTTCTTTGGAATTATATTCCAGCCGACCTGCACACATTTAATATATCCCTTTTGCAAAATATTGTGTAGATTAGATTTCTTTTCTATATAATTTTTACTTTCCATTGCCTCTCTTTGTCTAATACATGATTGCGAGGCTGTGTTGGTTAAGGACCATGCTTTTGGCATTATTCAGGTCTGAATAACTTGTCTGAAATGGTTGCCTGCTCAAGCAGGGGGTTGGACTAGAACAGTGGCCCCCAACCTTTTGGGCACAAGGGACCGGTTCCATGGAGAGAGGTTTTTCCGTGGACCAGAGGGAGGTGGTTCTGTGTGCTGTCTGCATCCCATGGATGGAGCTTCGCTTGTTTGCGTGGCTCGGTTTTGGGCATGCCGCAGACTGGTGCCAGTCCATAGACCGGGGGTTGGGGACCCCTGGACTAGAAGACTTCCACGGTCCCTTCCAACTCTGTTATTCTGCTAAATAGTTCTGTTAAGTAAGATTAAGAGATGCTGAATGCTCATATAGCTTAGTCCAATGTGTACTTGGACCTGCTTCAGAGAATTCAGAACATACCTGTTTCATCCAATAGCATTATTGATTGAAAATGGCTATTATGGTCAAAATAAAGATGTGGAACAAGCCCCCGAAAAGTATGAAGCATGATAAAATACATTTATTCTCAGCTTACTACCAAATTGTATGAGCATCTAGGATATTTTGTCTACGTTTCATAGTAGCCAAATCAAATGCACCCAAGAACTATAGGGGAAATCTACACATTTCTGATAAATAAATATGGTAAGGTTTTGTTGCTTTCTCAGCATGAGCAAAGTATCTGAAGTTATTTGGACTTCTTTTATACAGTCAGTTAATACAGAAGATAGCATTCTTTGAAACTGGTTTAATTTTTTAGAAATTTATATTGATAAAATTAATTAAAAGGTCTAAATGCAGATTAGCATAACCACAAAGTTAATAAGCTAGCAATAAAAAATTAAACAGGAAAAAAGAAAAAAAAGCACCTAAGTAAAAAATTGTTCCGTATGCAAAAAAAAAAGTTGGTTTAAATTAAACTTTGTTTAATTTGATCTTCTACTGATTTATTAGAACAGGGCATTCAAGCTCATGTAAATAGCTAATATCAGCTTCATTAACTATTTATTAAGAAAGTTATTAACTTAGAAACTAGAGATATACTTTGCACAACCTTTGTGGAGCTTTAGAAGTAGCAATTGCATCACAACAGATGTCAAAGTTGAATGTACAGCCAAAAATGAAATGACACTCATTTTTTAATTCTGGAAACGTTTTTAGAGCAGCTGCTTATTTAGCACTGATCTAAAGTAATAATACACAGAAAACAAGTGCCAGATGTACAAAATAAATTTAAGAAAAGCAGAAGCAGTCCAGTATCACATTGCTAGATCTGATGGGTAGTAGAACAAGTAAAGTGGGCTTTTTAAAAAGACTATTTTTGCTTTATTAATTACACAGTGGCTTCTGATTGGATAGACCATAACAAATTATTGGATAGTCCTTAAAAAGATGGAAGTCTGGGTCAACTATCTGCTTAGTCAAGAATTTATATGGTGACTAGCAAGCAAAGTTAGAATGGAGTATGAAATAACTAAATAGCTCAAAATTGGGAAAAGAATGACAAGATTTCAATCAATCAATCAGAACAGAGCTGGAAGGGACCTTGGAGGTCTTCTAGTCCAGCCCCCTGCTCAAACAGGAGACTCTGTATCATTTCAGACAAGTCCACTCTCTTCTTAAAAACCTCCAGTGATGAAGCACCCACAAGTTCTGAAGGCAAGCTGTTCCACTGGTGAATTGTCCTCACTGTTAGAAAGTTTCTCTTTAGTTCCAAGTTGCTTCTCTCCTTGATTAGTTTCCATCCATTGTTTTTTTTTTCCTGCCTTCTGGTGCTTTGGAGAATAAATTGACCCCCTCCTCCTTGTGGCAGTCTTTCAAATACTGGCATACTGCTATCATGACCCCCTAGTCCTTCTTTTCTCTAGAATGGCCATTCCCAAATCCTGCAGCCGTTCTTCATATGTTTTAGTCTCCAGGCCTTTAATTATTAGATCATGCACTGTTACCTTATTTAATTACTGTTAATTAATTACTGTTACCTTATTTTCTACTGCAGCATGTCTCATAATATGTTCTACACATATTATGAGACATGCTGCAGTAGAAAAAACAGAAATTGAAATTAAACTTGTTGGGAAAAGTATTGACAACACAAGCATAAACTTACAATAATTCTTTAGAATT